GTCTTTGACGATACGTGTTTGACGGGAAGCGCGTGATAGCGATACTGAAATGATTTCTTAACATATATACATAAAGTGCACGTGGTTGCAGTTGTTAGTCTCAGAATGGAGGCTCTGCTCTCTCACACGTGACGTTTGTGCTGTTCCAATCGGCGTCTGATCAAAATGTACACAATGAAATATACATACACACAAATAGGTAACTAGGTAAGTGGGTTGTTAGCTAGGTATGTACAGCGATGCAGGTCATTGATTGTATCTAGTCTGTTGGAACGAATAGGTAGGACGTTTTTTTTCAACATTACCTATATTTTCCGCGTCACTTTTTTCACTGAGTATGTATACAATTTTCCCAAATAGTGTTTAAGACATATAGACAAACAACAATATGAACAACAACAACAAAGATGATATGTGAAAAAAATAATGTTTATGCAAATTAGGTATTGGAAACTTACCGCTTATCATAATGTTTGTCTTAACATAGGAAAAGTAAAAACTGTACTTGGTGGAATAGACAATCATGCAACATCTGTTGAGCGATATAACGGCCAAAGTCAACACCGAGGCAATGCCGAACAAAGTTGTTGTAAAACCATTTATCTGACACATTGTTTCCCCCATCACCCACTCGCCGTTATACAACACAACCAACGTGACTGGCCCATTGACGACGGCGGTCAGCAGATCGCACCAGGCCAAGTTCATTACTAATTTGTTCGGCACAGTGCGAAGTTTGTGATTAGTGAAGATAATCCAACAGACACATGCGTTTCCCACAATCGTTGTTAACATAATGATTACCATAAGCGCGATCTCAAAGGGAGTGGACGGCCTCGGCTCGGTATCGTCGGCGCCGGTGTCTGTGTCGTTACCACTGACGTTCATGTTCAGCTTACCTGAAACGATAAAATGTATCTTCCGTTAATACACTTCAAAGGAAATGAATGGAACCGGTTCTTACTAAGTAGGAAATCCGGGTAGTTGTTTTACAGAGAAAACCATCTCGCCACAATAACGGTTACAAGAGTAAAAATTACAATCTTGAACAACGACGTAATACAAAAAATACAAAATAATAGCCATCCAGCAATCCTAAATACAAAAGGCGATCAGCGTATCTGCGAGGTGCATGCAGGAAGTACAGTCTACTAGACATAGGATATGCGAAGAAACGAGTCAAGTAATTACCCGAAGAACATACCATTGTCATTCCAGTAATGAAATTTATTCATTTAAAAGCAGCGCATCCATAAATGGCTTCTTCGTGCACTGGATAGGCATTTGCGCAAATGTCCAGCCATACTGATTATGACACCCCTCAAATATACGCGTAATGACATAATCATTATCACATGTATCATAGTATCATGCCTGGATTTGCTGGCCATGACGCTATGACAATTATACCCAAGCAATACGTGATCTTCAAATATAACCCATTAAGACGCGGGAGGGCGCCAAAACCAATCATTTTACAGCGATAATGGTGTTGTCGAAATTTAATTATCTGACACATATATCAATTTTCATTTTCAAGTTCATTACTCAATCAATTTTTGAGATTGCCCACAGCGTACAACACAGGCCGCGCGATTTAATACATCGCTTAAATGATTAAAAAATGGCTTTATTATAGAACATACATGGTTACTGAATAGCGATTAGCGAAAAGCGAAGACTTTGACAAGCCGAAATAGTGCAAAATATAATCTCATTAAGCATGAACCAACACAGGGTGATTCATACTGTGTCATATTTTTTTCTAAAATCATAACAAGGAAAGAAATAATACCATTCGATACAGTATACAGAATCATTTTTTACTAACTATTTCAGTGTGAAAGCGTCGGTGACCGAACCGGGCCGGGTGAGCATTTTCTGCACTGAATTTATTCATGTAATCGGGAAACGTTAGCCGGTGGTTTACACATATAATTTTACAACTGAACACGAATATTCTGTAGTGTCAAGACAAAAAGTGGCGAAATTAACGGCTTGCCTTCGAGGTTTACTGTACGATGAACTAAATGAATGAGCCATAAATAAGACATTCATACGTGACCATTTGACTCCAATTCAGAGGATTCATGACCAGTAGCAGTCAATTTAAAGTACACGGAAAAAAAATGCCCCGTGCAATGAATTGTATTTTTTATAGTGGGTAATATAATATGTTTTAATCAATTTATTCACTATCTCATTTTCACTGAGTCTCGTTTACTAAATTTGGCCTGTTGTCGCAAGAATGATTTACAATCATGGTAACAAGCTATCATGCATGCCTTCAAATTTACCAGTAACATTCTCGTTTATGTTCCTCGTAATCGTTTTTAGCTGGACGATGATGTGGATGTAATGTCTGAAAAAACACACAAATTTTACTGGTAATATAGGTTGTTCTCAGTCTTTAGTTCCGTGTCAAGGGGAACTGCGCGAAACGTTTAAAATGTGGGTCAATGCTTTATATTGTTTTGTGGTCGTCTCGATGTGTACACTTTTGATAGCCGCGCTAATATCATACATTTCACTAATTACACGCAAACTCCACGTCAAAACGTATGCAGAACGTATTGATATTTATTTTAATAGTTAGCATCGAGTGGATGAAAATATAATAACACTATACAATTCCAGTCAAGTTACGCGCCCGGGGGGCTACTTGCATAGAAGTGCAATACGGGTATGTGCCGCCCGACTGGGGTGCAATTTCACGTTATTTTGTTTAGAAGTGGTTGATCATTTATCAATGGTTTGGTTTAGAAGTGTGTATTTACTTTTTCACAGGTCCTTATATTCAAAGCCAAATACCGGAAAAGGCTGAATAAAATGCATTGCCCGGATGCGCTCACTGGTTGCGAAAGTTGTGAGCTGGGTGTTTTTTTTTTGCTGAAAACACTTGTGTTTAGAAGTGGGTATATAAATAGAAAAAAATGGTTTAGAAGTGAGTATGGTTTTACGAGAGGTGGCCTTAGCCACTTAAGGTAGAAGTAGCCCCCCGGGGGTTACGCGATACCAAGTACAAGGTACAAGAAATAAAATGCACAAATGTGGTCATGAACGATACATCGCGTTGTTAGGACAATTATAATTATATCACCACCCATTTTGTTATTCAAAATGGTTTCTCAATGTTGAAATCTTAAGTTTATTTGTTTCAACTGCAAGCACTAAAATGTATCGGCGACATATAACACGATCGTTTGCTATAATTATTTGTATGCGCTAAAATAAGCGTACTGTCATGAATTAGTTTTCGCGTATCTGTTGACCGACTGGGTCAGCTGATTACTAGTGAATGGCTGTGTTATATCTGTCATCATTTAGGCTCATGCGTGGTCCTGGACGGAACTTGACTCAGTGATTTGGAACTAATTACGATATAACCGTCGCCATCCGAACCGCTATTTCTGACAGTTTGGTATTTGCAGTTAGTAATATAGTGAACGATTAATCAAAAGATATGACGTGTCCAGTACTTAGTGTGATTGGCTATGTGCAAGTTGAATGTGTGAAGGTTACGCCTTATGTCTTTAAACTTCTTTGTAATTGGTTAAGTTTTGATACGTAATAAACGGTCTAAGTCCTTGGTCCCAGAGAGAGCTCCACGAGGCGAGAGAGTCTTGGTCAGTTCTGGGCAGAGTCTCGGACGAGGCAGTTTGCCTTGAGGCGTTCTCGATGTGGCTAAAGACCAGCTATTGAAACGTGTTTCGTTGTGTGCATCTAATTGACTGTAAAGTTTAAGTGACTTTCCCGGTCCGGTACCTCAAGCAGACGTGTATAGAGACAAACGAAAATTCCCCCCCCCCCTGACAGTACATACAAAACAATGCACGAATAGTATATGTACCACCTTTATACGCGACTTAACCAAATCCGGTATCACAGTCAATTGTAACAATCCGAGAGAATGCACCCACCGGCAAATTAAACTTGAAGTCGAAATCAATCCTAATTTAATTTGAACATTTTGTGCGACACGAGACGAACTTTCAATCGATTTGTAATTCAGCAATAATTCCATTAGTTCGCCTTACACAAGGGAATGTACAAGTAATATAACGCATTTAGCTTCATTCGTTTCCGACATCTTGCTGAACTTAGATTCTTTATACAAATTGGATCAGTTAAACCATTTACATAATTTTCCGATATTGAGAATACTTTGACCCAAAGGACTAGATCGTGGCGTAGAAAGTGAAATGTACTGGTTAATCAATCCAAGGTAAGACATTGGCATCTTCACCTTTATTTGCGAAAACATGTATTTGTTTCGTGATTGACGTCATATTTTCTGATGTCTCGCTAACTGTTATAGCCGTATAGGCATATATATATATATATAGCTTTATAATACAGAGCATTGTACCAATACAAGCTGAATTCGGCCGTATACAGTGCTCACAGTGTTTCCCTTTTAAAGTGTCACTGAGAGTCAGTGCCACAAAACTATTCAAGTATAACAAAATTGGCGGTAATTTTGTGGCATTCCATCTGAAGATCAGAATTTCTTTTGAAATTTGCGTTGCACGTCGTTGTTATCTATCATAAATAGTTTTGTTTATACCCGCACATATAGCACATTTTGTCGTGAAAACCATGTCCTTGTTTGGAACTGCGTGAGACGATTATATAAACACTTGCTCCCCAAAGTCACTTCTCTTATTAAATAAATCTTGTCCAGTTGCTTAAACCTCCCCAATGAGTCCATGGCATATTCAACTACGTCAGAGGCTTATTCTTTGTAGATGTTCAACCTCGAGTAAAGTAACCCCCGTTACTATATCTGCATTCTTCAACGTCATCGTGTCGACTGTTTCAAATACCATGGCAAGTCACGTGGCTCTCTCGATCATAACGATATCTTGGCGGCCATTTGTGAAATAAGGTCTACTGGAAATTGTAATTTCCTTGTATCTGACAGATGTTTTTGATAGTCACTATTATGTATAATTACCCACTTTGAAGGTTTTCAGCATTATTTACTTATTCTGTGTTGGGGAAGGGAAATTACACCGTTTAATTAAATCTTAATTTCCTGCTCAAGATATACGCCATTGAAGAAAGAAAATGTGTCCATGGGTGATTTTCTATCCAGAAATTATTTTCAAAGAGTAATTTCATCATTGCAGAAAACGCATTATGAATAATGGCCTGCAATGCAATTGACTCATTATATACAATCAGCTTGGATGAGGTTACTAGTATTACTATATAGGACTTGACCAGTCGTGTGGTATGGAAGCAAATCTTGAAATGCATTTATATTTAATATAAACTCACGATTATTTTGTAATGATAACACAGTTTTGCTCACACCTACACATATGAAAACTACTTAGAACGATATATTGTTTATTTTTGATACTGCCGTTAACATAGAGACGTACTCAATCAAACAAAATTTGACTAACAACATCAATCACACCAGTTGACATGTACAAAATTTGCCAGATCAGATGTACACACATTGAAATGAATTATTTGAGTGTTGTGAATCCGCATATTCAGAAGCACGAGTATGAGTTAACGTTGTTGAACCGATATAACAGTCCCATTCGATCGAATGGTACATGCGATTCATTTAAATCCATCAGTGGAGTTCTGTAATTATACACAAAGATACATGAAATTGGAGTCTGTCACCATAGCGACTGGAGTCTGTCACTATAGCGACTGGAGTCTGACACCATAACGAATGTATATTTTGACAAGCGAAGAATGCGTGGCTGCACGATATGTACTTTGTTATAAGATTTCTCTTCACAATGTAATTGAAGAATTAGTTTGCCTGAATGACACTCGCACTCACTCGAAGACCATAACGAGAGGGAGAATATTCTTCATTATGTCGTTCAGAAAGTTGAGAAAAACTCGATGGACTTGCT